AACTATGCCAAGAAAGGGGGGAAAGTTTCGGATTTTCAGCTGTGGCTCACCCTCAGTGTATTTTAATAGATTAACTATTTTAGTACACTTTTGACGTCGTTTGAGCTTTATTAGAGCTGTGGCAGAACTTACTACTACCTACTGAATTCCGTCGGACGCTGCTAGGTACCCGACACATACAGCCACCCTGTACGATTGCCTCCGCTCTGAAGACGAGCTCCTGGCGGCGGGTCGGGCGGTGCCGTCCTCGGCCTGGGGCCCGGGAGCCAGCACCGGAGTCGGCAGCGGTTTGAACGGGGCCGGTCTCCCTGCGGCAGCCGTGCTGCCGCCGCCCCCCTCAGCAGGAGAGCAGATCCCTCACTTTCTGGGAGCTGTATCTTTTCTTTTTCTTTCAGACCTTTCAGAATAAAGTTGTTTGGCACATGGCTTCTAAGGATCTTAAAAACTTGCTCCTAATTCCTGTAGCTCTCATATTTATAAACTGCCAATTCTGGTCAAGTTTCTGCTCATACATCTTGATATAAGTTATTGTACAAATTAAAATGGAGTTGCTTTGCAATTTTAATATTTAGGTGCAGATCAAATTTAGCATTGATTACTGTACATTAGGCGTATAATTTAGGAGCTTGGTTTGAAGGGTTACAAGTGAGCTGGAGTGCGACCTTAATTATCATATAAATAACATATATTAAATAGACCAATGAGGTGTGTCTGTGAACTTTCCCCCTCTGAAATTTTAGAGATGTTTTCCAATAGAATTTCTGAGGATTTGGTTTTTTCCTGCGCCTCTCCAAACAAGAGTCATTCCTCCTTAACTGAAAGCCCATCGGCAGTTGCCACGTACACAGAACCTATGCCACAGGAGCTGTGGGCCTCCGGCATGTTCAGCCAAGGGGCTGACACTGGAAGTGCATTTCTGCCCCGGGACCGCGGTCACGTTATGCGGCCGCTTGTTAGCTCTTGCTGATTATGTTTGGTGCCTAATTATTTGCAGTGAAGTAAAAGCTTTATGACATGTGGCCTGGTGAGACCAGAGATTTTTTCTAAATGAAGTTGCACTGACTAACTGGAAATTGTCCATATGTCACAGTAATAGCTTTCTTCCTCTTTTTTACACAAAATGTGGCTTAAGGTGTACACTGGCATACTGCTGTTCGTTGTTACTCTTTTAAATTTGTTATAGAATCCACTTGTGCATAAGATAGGACAATGTTCTCTATGTGGTTAGTGGGAGTGAGTTCTCTGTTGTTTTCTTATTAAAATAGTATCAGATGAACTGTTAGGGAGTTGCTCCTTCCTAAAAATGTGTGTTTATCTGCTAGCCAGTTTTATGATGTCCTTTTGGGCACTAAGCATGCATTAAAGTGCAGGGTTAGATTGATTTGGAGTAATTTCTTTTTGAAAGAATTTGTGCCAATTCTTTTTCCTCTCCAAAAGAAATGGTTTCAGAGCATGGGCTTCTTGCCTAATGTCAATTCCATAAGGCTCCTCTGTTGTGGGGTTTTAGGGTTTTTTTGCTTTGCCTCCTGTCCCCCTGCCCCCTGCCCCCACCCTGTAACTGGGCTTTGCCGGAGGAAGATGTGTACCTACAATCAGCATTTCTTTACTTTAGGGTTATTTGTCGTTCCAGACAGCATGGACCAAAAGAACAGGCCTGAGTCGGGGGAGGCAAAGTTATATAAACTGTGTTCATAGTTAAATATTTGCTTCCAGGGAAGGTGAAAAATGCTTTGTACTTTTTCCTTTGGCTTTTTTCCTCTAAGGGAGCTTGTCATGCAACAACAGAAAAAAGTGGCCAGCGGCAGAGAAAACTCTTCTCTTTTCCATGTTGGTTTGTTTTTATTGTAAGACAAACCTTTCATGTTTTATTGTTAATGAAGCTTAAACCTGGCGTAGAGGTGCCAATCTTTAGTGGGAACAGCTGCAGAGCTGGTGTCCCCTGATCAGGTGGGACTTTCTTTGAAGCAACATGCTGCCTTTTAAAAGAAAATCGAGCATGTGAGAACTTGAACCTGTGAAACTCATCAGCGGTTCCACCATTGTTCATCCCTTCAGTAACTGAGATAGTTGGCTTTAAGTAAAACACTGGCATTTAAAAAAACATTTTCTTTCTTTTTTTTTCCTGAAGAGGACAGTCTTGTTATTTTGTGTCTTAAAAATATGGAAATGGAGTGGGGGTCACTTGTGAGGAGTGAAGATGCAGCAGCCCAGTTTAACTACGATCATAGAGCTCGTGCTGTCTTCAGTCGGTCTGGACTGTGATTTTGATCTCATGTATACTTGCAGATAACTGCCTTTTCTAGGAGCAAAACTAGGTGGCTGGGCATATACCCGAATTGAAATAAAGGCTAGAGATGAAAGATTTTTCTGCTCTCTCTTGATTGATGTGGAAGCGTTTCTCGTCCTTGTGCTTGAGCGATACTCAAGCAGTGGGCTTAGCATCATTGCTCTTGGTCTACTGCTAGGAAAAGTTGAGCGTCAGAGAGCTTTCTTTCCTCGGGGGAAAAATAGGAGAGACAGGCATGGAGTCAGAGGGACAAGAAAAATGCTGAAATATTTTCCTTTGGGGCTTTTGATTTGTTTGCCAAAAATTGCCTTCCAGATGGAGAAGACCGAAAGCTCTGATTGTAAGCCATTATGTTTTTACTGGCCTACCTCCCCATCCCATTGCCTGGTTTGAAATCTGTAAGCCAGTCCAAATCCTTTACCTCATTTTCTAGTACCAATTTACTGTCTTACTCATCTTCCAGCTGCAAGGGGGTGAGGCAAGCCGTTCCGAAATCGAGCGCTGTGCCATTTTATAAACCAAGCAACAGCAGATTCTTGCCAAGGAGTATCAATCGCGATAGCTCCCATTTCTCTGAAGGTCTTGACTCATGCCTACCAGGTAGACGTCTGTCTGTGACATGTGCAGTCGGATTAGTCTGGGAATGAATCTGAACAAGCCCTTTTGGCCTTGTGTAGACTTGTTCCTACCCTGGTTGCCTAGCGTTTGGGGCTCTTGCATGGGAAGCACAATTCCTTTTTGGCTGTATCTTAGAGCACTGGCAGTAGAAATCTTGATATTCCACTTTCCCTTGGGAGATAGTGATTGTTCGGGTGCTGAACTTTTAAGGGAATCCAGTGTCAGGACGTGTAGTGGGTGTAGTGGCTTTGGGGTCTGGCAGACTTGGGCCCAGTTCCTTGCTCTACTGCTAACTAAGCTGTGTCCTTGAGCACATTATTTTCTGCATCTGAAAAAATGCGGGATAATACCATATCAGGTTGTTGTTTGCTTTAACAGATAACTTTTGGAAAGGAAGAGAATGTTGGGGACTCACGGGAAATACTGAAATGTTCATTCCTTTTCCTTCTCATTATGTCAGTCTTGAGTAGGTTAATTATTATGGTCTATAAACTGACTAGTTTTCTACCATTCTATTAAGTTATATGGGAATTGGGATGACATGAGTGATTTTCAAATATTGCCCGTTAAAGTTGGCAAATCAGTACCTAACGCAAGGTCTCTGGGACAGGACAAAGTCATAATTTTTAATTAAAATTCATGTTTATGTAGGATACAGCCATAGGGAAGAAACATATATCATGGCCATATATACACGGTAGGGGAGAATTACGAGAAATCATTCCGGGTACTAGCATGCTTTCTTCAGGCTAACATCAGCTGCATCGTTGCATAGCTAGATCAAAAAAGTTAGGAATTAGCTTGCTTGCTGTTCTCTGTGTTTGGGTCAGAAAAGGTCAGGGTGGTTGACTGAGGAGTATGTGGAATGTTCACACTGCAGGAGTCATGGTCAGATGGAGAAGCAGCTCTTCTGAATTTCAGTGGCACAAATTTGAGAACCATTCAGGCAAGTAGGAGCTGAGGCTTTTTTTGTGGCGCTTGATTTAAAGACAGCAGTCAGGGTCTCCTTCGGACTGCGGGACAGACAGCAGAGAGTCAGCGCGCTCTGAGAGGCGCGGAAACAGCCGTCAGATCTGAAGAAACGATGAGGTTTCGGTGTTCTTCCTTGGCATGTTTAAATTTTTTTGATAATGGGAAAATAGGTTTATCTCAAAGTTTGGGACATGTATCGCTACAGTATGTGAGCTGATTATTTTTTCCCCTAAAGTAGTATTACAGACAAATATTTTTATTTTAATGCTTATACATTCATTTTAACACACCTTATGAAAAGAAATATAGCTAGCACTCAAATCTATGATTACACCAATATTACTTAAGCTGAGGCTAAAGTTATTTAATTAAATACATACATTGATTTTTTTTTTTTAAAGAAAACTATTAAGAAAATAGTTGTACAGGTGACTTAGCAAAATTATGACAGCAGCACTAGAATGACCAGTGTTGGAGGGGTACTGGTGAAAAATAAGGATTTGGTCCTTTTTATTCAAGCTCACGTGCCTGTGAAGTTTAATTTAAAATTAGGTATTTACAATTTTTTTTCTACCAGACCATTAAGATAGGTTTGTGTATGTTTTTGTTTTTGTTTTTTTGAAAGATAGTCGTGGTTAAAAATGAGTAAAATGAGGGGAGGGGATTAATCTCCACATTTGGACACTCTGACTTGTGACAACCTTTAGGATCTTCCTCAAAAAGCAGCCACCACTCCAAGTGCTGAAATGAGGAGAGGAGCTTCCAGGCGGCACCGGGCTCCGGTGTTTGGCGGGGGCAGGGGAGGGAGCACCAGGCGCCGGGGCGATTCCCGGGCAGTGCCAAGAGCGTCTCCTCAGGGACCGTCACTTGGCTTTTTCTCTCACCCCTAAGACTTGCCCAGACACAATGGGGAATAAAGTTTTCATCCCCTAATGTGGGCAGGGGACCCAAGGCATCTAAAAAGCCTCTGACAACAAGAAAGAATGTTAAAAGTGAGAAAATCAACTCTACCAAATTATGCAAAGAAAAATCTTTTATAGATATTCACATTGATGAAATGTTCACTTTATTTTTGTCAAGTTTCTATTATGAGATGTGACATGTTGTTCCTTCCTCTCTGCAGGTACTGGTTTTGGATTAGGACTTGTTTTCTCACTTACCTTCTTTAAAAGTAAGTGTGACTCTTCCTACCTTTTCAACACGATGTCCTAGCGTACGTACACATAGCAGGGACACTTCTGGAAGGCACGTCTACACGGCTCCAACCCAGCCATCTATGGGTTCCAGTAGCTAGACAGAGAATGTGGACTCAGAAGAGGTCAAAATGGGCTGAGCATCTCCAGCATTCCCCTGGGCATATCTTAAATATGATATCATTTAAAAAGCCTGCGCTTTATGTCAGTGAGTCATTTGGCCAAATGTAGATGTGCTCAAATATTTCTAATTAATTATAATTTTTTTGCAAAGGAACTTGAAAATGAGAGCACTGCTAGTGATAAAAACAAGTGGACCAGAAACACACATGCTTTTTGACCAAAAATTCTCAGCAGAGGGCAGGCGATAGCCCTTTCATTCTTGGAAGAACTGAAGTTGGGCTGTTGCCCTCTGTCCGTGAAGGACTGGTGGGAATACATAACAGAGAGTCATAAATACACATCGTGCTGATACGAAATAATCATTTACAGTATTGGCTTAAGTAAACCTCACCACTAACTGTAATCAAAATATGGAAATATTGGTGAAATTCCAAGGTCTTTTTAAAATTCAAGTACCTTAATGGAAGGTGGTATTATTTCTGCTAAAAAATTAGTTAAAATGTGCAAATGATTAGAACTGATAAGTTGTTAAAAGTTTCAACTATGTCTATTGTTTTCGTATTATACCATTATATACCATTCATTTGTACTGTTATTAATACCTCAGACCTGGCAGCGTAAGTACCTAATAAATATGTGGTAAATTAATGAGTTTATTAATAGCCTCCCTCTTCCTTTTTTTGACTGTTGATGAAACGTTAACAAAACCCTGCATAGTATAGTCATCCGTATGATGAATGTTGAATATTTATTGAACCCTAAGCAAATGTATTTGAGCCAGAGGAAAAGCTGTATCTTCTCGTCATGGTGCCCTGTTTCTGCCCTCCAGGAAGAATGTGGCCGCTGGCCTTCGGTTCTGGCATGGGATTGGGGATGGCCTACTCCAACTGTCAGCATGATTTCCAGTCTCCGTATCTTCTACACGGAAAATATGTCAAAGTAGGTACCGAATTGATATTTCTCTTTCTTTCCAAAGAAAAAGAGTTTTCTCCTGAGTGCTCGAAGAATTCTTTTAGAGTATATATAATGAATAAACTGTGCGTGTCATCTGGCACCACTGATATCCTAACGGCTTTGTCCTTGAGGAATTCTGGCACTGTTCCGGTGCCTAAAGCCCCGCCCCTGCCCTGTGCCCTGAGACGCATGCGTACATGCAGATCTAGGCTCACATGGTAGCTGACTGGAGTTGACAGACCTGCCTGAAAGTGGTGTAGCAGATTTGTGTTAAATATCTGTAAGTGGCACTTTGTTCAAGATCTCAGAATGCCCTGTAAACATCTCACATATACTCAAGCTAAATGTAAAGACCTCTGGGATTCAGCCATTATTTTGCTTTTAATAGAAGAGGGCAGGTTTTTGACTATATGTCCCACATAATTCTGCCGAAGTCCTTGTCTACAGATGGATTTTTAGGATGCAGACAAGATGAAAAATTATAGTACTTGTCTCAAGAGGGAAGAAGGTAGCACATTTCCTGAAGACCTCGTGTGTAGCACTGTACCTCTTTGCCTTACTTTAAATGACTGGTTACCGTGGGGTTTAAGTAAAAGGATCCTGGGAAGCTGGGTACTGAAGGACACAGGGGTGAATTTATTTTTGTTTTGCCGGGGCCTGGAACAAAGTAGGCGCTCGATTATAAAATGAATGAATGAAGTAAATGGTATATCCTGTTAGATGTGTTAATGGCCTCAGACTTACTAAGGCATAACCTTTATAGCAATACAGACTTCAGTGAAGAACTTCACGTTTCCTGGATGTGTAGAATCCTCTCCTTTCTGGGGTGCCCTTGAGCGAGAGTCACTGTGATCTGGGCAGCCTCAGGAGGCCGGCGGCAAGAGCGCCGACGCCGGGAGACCTGGCTGGGGGTCCTGGTCCATCTCTTGCTTCCTGCGCGGTCTTGAGGTGTTCGGTTCTGAGATTCCCCTTTCTAGCTATCAAATGAGGAAATAATTGCTACCTACTGGGTTGTTGTGAGAGTTAAATGTGAACATGGTTTTAAGAGGTGAGGTATTATATATAAATAGATGTGTTCATTGTTATGGTTGAGGCCAACCAAGAAACGGTAATTGACTTGTTCATTGTTTCATGGCAATAACAAACAGAGCAGAAAATGTACAAATGAGCGTCCCAATTCCGATCAGAAGCTGTCACCAAATCTCAAATGACAGTACCCCACCACCACTCAGTGGCCTCTCTCTCAGAACCTGCTCAGAATGTCAGCTGCCTGCCGACTCTCCTGTGCGTGTTTGGAGAGGGAGTGGGAGCAGCGAGAGTTGGCCAGTTAGACGGTGGCAGGCCTTTCGCCGCCTCCCACATTAATGAACCATTTCTGTGCCAGGGCCAGGGTGAGGTAATCAGGGGGACAGCGCAAGAAGAGGCGCAGCTGTGTGGCACGAAGCTGAGGATGGGCGGTTTCCATTGCTCCCCAGCTCTTCGCTTCGCTGGCACCACAGCCGAATTCGGGGGAGAACAGAAAGGCACAGGGAGAGGAGCTGCAGGTCTTTTAATTGTTTGAAATGTTCCAAACTGAGTTGCCATGGATAATGGCTCAGGGGTGATTATAGGCATATTATATATTTAATGGCTGGGACTTAACTGTGGAAAATATTGTTACATTTTTTTACAGCCTTGTGTGTACTGCTCCAAAATGGCCTTGTAACTTTATCTGAACTTGAGTCTGTGCCTCGATGTTGTCATGCTCCATTCTCTAAAAAGAGGAGCAGAATCCCAACTTGGGGCTTTTTAAGTGTAGCCCTATTATGGCCATTGCTGCTTGAGAGCCTGCCATGCCCCGTGGGTCATCCCGGGTGCTGTGTGTTCTCCCTCTAGGCCTCCCGGGCCCCAGTAGGTTTGTGAGAGATGTTATGATCCTCATTCAGAAGAGGTGAGAAATCTGAATCTTACTGAGGTTAAGAAACTTGCCAAAGGTCCCATCATTAGTAGGCCGTTTGATTCCAGACCTGTGTTTTTTTCCACTCACCTGTCATCTGTCCCTTTGCTGGGTTTAGGAATATACTTTCAGGTCCTGATTCTTTGGCCCTGTTCCACTCCTTTCCCATCCTCCTTCCTCAAAGTTTGGGGAGCCTTTCTTCAGAACTTGGACAAACGTACACAGTCCTTTTGTGAGAGTTTTTAAAGCGAGTGGGGGTGGGGGTAGGGTTTGGGGCCCATTGGTCCCTTGGGTCTGACCTGCAGCAGTAAGTTAGAGAGGGCTGTCACACGCCGCCTGGACCACTCTGACCGCGTGTCCTTGCTTTACAGGAGCAGGAGCACTGACTTCCGCCTGAGGACACCCAGTGGGAGGAAAGAGCAGCCCCGCTTCCCTCAGGAACACTGAAGTGCTCTGGAGTGAGCCGCACTCTTCTGTGACGATGTTTTCAGCAAGGCTTTAAACGCCAGCGCGCTGTTTATGTATTTGAAACCAAGTCTGTTTCTTGTTTTGTATTTTCTCTCTGGAAATTGCAAGGAGGTGGTCTTAAAAGAAATAAATTAAACAAAAATAGGCAGCCCAGTGCATTGCCTGCATTTCTTCGCCTTTGGTGTCTGAGCATGAGAAAGAGTGTACTTGGACTGCCTGATGGCTGCTGTGACCGCCTGGTCCCGGCCTCTCTGAGAACCTTCCTGAAACCACAGCCGCTGTGCATTCCTAATGTGTAGTTTTCACAATGGCTCCCGCCTCGTAAATCAGGGGCTGGAGTTTGCCTCTGTCGTCCGATGAAGACGACGAGGGTCGCGAGGAGCCCTGCCTCGCTACAGCGGCTCCTTACGATCCGTGTGTCATCCTCACTCCTGGGCCTGGCGGGGCACGTTTCACCCATGCCCGCTGCACCAGGTCACAGAGCGGGCTGTATCAGCAGGGGGTAACCTGGCTGCGTCAATGGCTTGCCGTGTGATGTCGCGGTTTTCCGCAGCTTCACGGAACTCGACAGTCCGGGCTTCAGCTCTGGGGGCTTTGTCCTGAGGTTTGGGAGAGTGCATGGCCTACCCACCTGGCTGGAAGGGGACATTTGCGCTTGATTTTTGTCTTCATGGGACAGCTGAAATTTGAGGACAAAGGGGCCGCTTCTTATGCCCTTCTGTGAGATTATTCCTTTGGTTTTACTTGAAATGAGGAGGCTGAACACGAAAGTAGTCTTGTAACAATTTCTTCTGAAAATATGCAGAACCCCAGCACTCAGTCTTTCATATCTTATTTCTCTCTTTATAATAAAATTAAGATGGGCAGAGCTTGATCCGCATGTTCTTTTATCCTGTAAATGTTGATTGAGCATCTACCAAGCAGAGATAAGTGGATGAAAAGACAAGACCCAGGCACCTGCCTTCAAGGAGCTTAGAGCCTGGTGGGAAGACAGGCATGCACACTCGACACAGGAAGAGGAGGGTTATAGACGAAGTGCCATGAGAACAAAGGGGAAGGAACAACTAAGTCTTCTCAGGGTGTCCTGGCAGCGGAGGAAATAACATGGACTGAGGCTCGATGTTGACCTGCACGTTCCTGACGGACGAAGAAAAGGAAGGGAGTTTACGCGAGGGCCTGGAGTCCCAGCACAGTGCTGCGGTAGTTGGGAAGCTGCGAGTGGGCCAGGGCAGCCAAAGTGTGCAGGGCAAGGGAGAGGGGGGCAGAGGGACGAGGTTGAGCACCAGGGTGTGGCCGGTGCCTGACCCCAGTTCTAGAACTTCAACTAGTCAGTTACTGCAAGTGTTGTGATGAGTTAATGCAGGGTAGAAATACTGCCTCTTTTTTTCCTCCCTCATCCTTCACTCTGTCCCTCTTCCAGAAAGTTGTGCCAACCCCGGGACAGGAAGAGGCAGCAGTGGCCCTCTGCCCTGCACGCTGTCCAGGCTCCTCTACTCTCTGGGTTTCTTTGTTTCTTTGGGTCAGTTAAAGCCCAGGGACAGGCCTGAGCTAGGACTGTAGGTCATGGCCATGGCTTGCTATAGCCATTGTGCTGTTTCTCACTTCCCGTTCATTCCATGGTCGAGACGATCTGTGTAATTAAAAGAAAAATAACCCAGCATCCCGTATCATCCCTTACACTTGTCTTCTCCGTATTTGCTTTACAAGTTATTATTTCCTCCCAATGTTTCCATTTTTATTCAGCCAGAGAGAGAATGACAGGTCTCCTTCCAAAAAGAGAGCAACAGAGAAGACAATATGCCCACTAATTCTGTAGATATGTTAGAAGACCATGGAGTGGAAATGGATTGTGAAATGAGACTTCCCTTGTCTCATTCGTTATTAGATTTTAGGCATTTATTTGGATGGATCCCTTTGCCCAGCGTCTTTGAAATACCGCTTATGTGTTTGGAGAAACTGGTGAGCACTGCGAGGAAATAGTTTTGGGCTAAGGCCAGCCAAAGGAAGCACTGGCTGTTTGCTTTAATTCCAGGGTACTTGGTATTCCTGTATTGTAGCTCTTAGCAGAGACTGGCCCAAAGCACAATGCTCGATCTTGTCCCCAGTCCCTGCCCCCATCTCAAATCAACCTTCAGAAAGTTCCAGCTCATTGGCAAAGGCATACATTCTGTGCTACTCAAAGTTTCATTAGAAATTCAAGTCTTCCGGGACCTGTTCCCTTGCAGGGTTGTGAAACTTTGACTTTGCTTCTTGTCTTCCCTTCTGGAACAGAATGCAAGGAAATCCTCGAGTTTGGGGAGAGAGAGAGATGGGAACCCAACTGGGCACAGGATACTAGGATAAAACTGTGGCGCCCCCAAAGAGGCCTGCCCTGCCAACATACATAAACACATGCAGTCGGAGCTTGACACTGTAATTTGGGCCAGAACAATATGTATTTGGAACTCATTTAGGTGAATGACTTGGCATTCCAAGCACCCACTGGGCCTTTATCAAGCCACATTTGCCTTGTGCAGAAGGACCCCTTTGTTCTGAGGAATGGCCTCAGAACACGCTCAGCTGAGCTGTCCCCTTCAGTGAGTGGCATCCCCTCTCAACCATTTCAAAAGGTCCAAGGATGTGGTCTTGAAATCCTGCTCGCAGGAAATGCAGAGATTGGGCACGGAGGAGAAAACCCCTGTCGTTTTGCTTTTAGTTTTTCCAAACCTCACTGTTTACATTTGTTTAAAATGTAACCAAGCCATAATTACATTTTACTTGTTGTGGTACAATCTGATTGTATTGTTGCAGGACTATTTTTGAACCTGTCCAAATAAACTCTGCAAAGTATTTCCACAAGGACGGACCCCACGGGGCTGGAACAGCCTTCCTCCCGAACGGTGCTGAGACACACGCGGCTTCCTGTTGCATGCTTTCTAATTACATAAATGCGAGGGGTGGAAGGGAGAAAGTGGAAATTCTAAGTACCAAAAGGAATGTTAAATTTAGAATAACAAGCTCATCTGGAAGCCATCACCACTTTTTAAAGAGCGCTGCAAGCACCACTTCCCCTCTGACACCAAAGGATGATTTTGGGGTAAACAGACCTGGGCTGGAGCAGGGCAGAAGTTCCCGGGTTCACTGAGCAGCCTCCGTGTGGAACAAGTGAGAGTCGGCAACGAGTTAGAGAGGACGGCGAATGAGGGAGAGAGGACTTGGAGTCAGCGGCCTGGGTCCAAGTTCCTGTTCCACCATTTACTTGTCAGGTGACCGCGGGGGTGAGAGGGCGGGGTTCCTTGAGCTCTCCAGACTTCACTTGCATCTGTGGAGGGAGAAAAAGTAATTCCTACCTCATAGGCTCGGAGGGTCAAATACATGTGCTAACACAAGTATTTAAAAAGTTACTGCTGTTTGAATCTCAATAGAGTGTGTGGTTTTAATGGTAGGTAGGGGACCGTTACCGAACAGAAAGGGTATACTCTGGGCTCCAGCTGGCTCTCAGGGTCTAAATTAGCAAGATCTGAGAGGGGAAAGGAATTTCTCAAATGAGCTCCTGGTAATAAAAAGCCTAAACATTGTTAGAAAACTCTGTGCATCTTCACAAGTAAGTAAGAATGTCCATTGTTTTTACTCTGCTCCATTAAGATACATGTAAGTAGGCCCTGAAGGGTGTGGCTCAGTTGGTTGGCTGTCGTCCTGCAAGGCTGGTTCGATTCCTGTCACATCTCTGTTTCTCTCCCTATCTTTTTCGCTTCTCCTTGCTCTAAAAATAAATAAATTAAAAGAAAAAAAAAAGATACACATGAGTCAAGTCACTGTGGCTTCTCCCCTTCTGAAACTCCGCCTCATGGGAAAGTCGGGAGGCTCCGGCACGGTAGGAAACAACAAGGACTGGGCATACACACACAGGGTAATTGGCTTCAGTTGTGCCATCCTCGGGTAAGGAGTTCAGAGTCAGAGGGTGGGAGTCGGGGAAGGTGATGTCAAGAATTCTAGGAGGAATTCAGGAGTGGGCAGGAGTGAGACTTTAATAGGGAAGAGACCACGACGAGAAAAAAGGAGGTCATTATCAACTGCCGTCAAGTCATCTTTATTCCTGGGCCAGCCAGTGTGAGGCAGGCAGAACTGAACTTGGATCACGTCAGATGAATATATAAGAATAGTTAGTATTTATTGGATACATACTCTTGTGCCAGTTACTGTTCTAAGGCCTTACGTACATCATGATGTTTAATTTTTACAACAATCCTATGAGAAAAGCATATCATCCTCATTTCCTGGACGAGGAGACAGATTTTGAAAGGATAAATTAACTTACCCACGGACAAGCAGTGGAGAGGTGATGCAGGAGGGGTTTTTACTGATTCCCAAACCCAGACTCCTAACTGCTCTGCTATGCCGGGCGAAAAGCTGTTTAGACTGGGAAGGTTTGTTCAAAGCGGTTTGATCCAGTTTAAACCTGATTTGACACAAACCTCACTGAACTGGTTGAAATCAACAAGAGTCAGTTTCATTGCGTTTAAATTGATCAGAATAAGTTGATCTGATTCGGAATCAGCCATATTTGTTAGAAAGTAAAAATAATAATTCCTATGTTCATTAATCAGAAACATAATTGTCAACTAGAGCTTCAGTTCAGTGATACTGATGAGTTTTACTAAATCCTTGCAAATGTCATAAAGCATCATGACTTTTTTTGACCTATGCATCTTAAGAAGTATGTATACTTTAAGTTAGATTTTTTTTTAGACATAATTTACAAACAGTAAAATATATCCACCACTAAGTTGAAAATGGAAAGTAACCTTTTTTATAATGTATACTGATAATATGTACTACCTTTATATTTTACTTTTAAAAGAGTTAAATTTTTTCATAACTTCTAATTTTGATATAATTCTATACTTACAGAAAAGTTGTGAAAATAATTCAAGGAACTCCTTTGTATCCTTTACCCAATTGTTCACCAATTGTTCACATTTTTCCTTATTTACTTTATTGTTCTGTGTGTGTGTATCTGTAGTATTTTTTTAAACCATTTGAGAGTAAGTTGGAGACATCGTATATAACCACAGTGCAATGATCAGAATCAGGAAATTAACCTTGATACAAGAGTATTATTTAATCCACAGTTCATATTAAAATTTTATAAACTGTCAAAATAATATA